CCTTTGGAATTCAATGAGGGTAAAATACTAAAAAATGTGTAAAAAGCGTGAAAGAATTTAAAGAAATAATAAAAAACTAAAATAATTAAAGATCAGATAAAATACTTTTTAGTTTCTTTTAATTTAATTTAAAGCTGCACAGTGTATCAGTTGTTAATCGTTATTGTGACATCGGCCTTGGCAACACTGATATGGGAGAAAGCTCTGATATGCGAATGAGTCCTCTGACTTTAAATGAGCGAACATCCTGACCAATCAGAGATGTTCTGTGGATGTTTGAATGAATCAGGGCAGTCACATTATCAAACGTTAATTATTGGTCAAAACAATGCAGGTCAGTCTTTAACCATGTCAGACAGTATTATTTTCATTGAATTGGAAGATATTTCACAGTCACAATAAGAATATGCATTTATGTATATTAACACTGTACATAAAATAATATATAAAATTTATTGTGTATATAATATCTACAGCATGCAAACATCTTAGGCAGCCATTAGAATGAAACATAATGTATTCATAAATGTTTTCAAATGTAACAAGAATGTTTGTTTTCAGTAAAGTTATTAATATATTGGTTAGAGAAGTACAGTTAGAACAACACAGGTTTGGTTCCTGACTTCTCTCTGCACTCCAGTCATTGGATGCATTCTATCAGCAGCACCTGATTTAACTGACTGAAGAATTGGTTGAATAATCTAGGTACTGGATGGTAACTGTAAATACTGGACTTCTTCAAGGAGAGATTTGGAAATGGTTAAACTTACACACTCACACACAGTAAATCACAATGTGTTGATTTGTATTTATTTTACTGTTGGTATGTTTAAATAAATAAATGTTTATTGCCAAGACAAATGGCTTTGCAAATAATTCAAATAGATTTCTGCACAGTACTGTATATTATATGATATATAGCTATATAACTGCAGTAATGACCAAACTACTGACATAATTCCTGTTTTAGATGCACCCTTCTCACTGATTATTAGCAGTGTGACTCCCCCTACCCCACCAATATCGTTCAGCCCCAATTCAAACAGTTGAATGCGCCATAAGGCAGAAATAACAGCTCCAGCCTCTGTTTTGTTTGGTTTTGAATGTATCCGAGTGTCTGCCCCTCTCCGGCGTAAACGTCTTATCTCTCCTGCCCTTGGCTGGGCGTGTTCTCAATCTACACCAAACACACGGACGCCAACTGACCACCAGAGCCGCCAACACAGAGGAAAACCAACTTCCACCGCACATTATTTCTCTGCCTTTACTCTCAGGGTCTACTGCAAACCCTTTTCTACCCCTTTCAACAACAAACGTCCAAATATGGAACAACAATACAAAACATTCATGTATATATATAAAAAAGCACAAAGTTGACACCTATAAATATACAGGTACACGAGGGTAAATGCAAGCAATATTTTTGTAATGTTTTTTTAATGTTAGAATTAAACGTTAATTAAACTTCTATAAATATATATTAGCATTTATATTAATGTTTCAATAAATATTAATAAATAAAATAAATAAATTTTAAGATTTTAATTTATTTTATGATTGTAATAAATAATGTAAACATGTAATTCTGAGTGTATTAAAACCTCTTGATCTCTACGGAAAAATTGCCTAAACTTCTGTATTCAGTAAATTTCAACAAAAAGCGAAGATATATAAATTAAAAATATGCCACATGCAAAATATGCTAGTAAAACTTCTTACCTTTATTGAATAAATGACTCTCAACAGCTATACTTTCATGAAGGAACGTTTTGTATAAAGTTCTTGTGTGTTTTTTGGCTCAGTCTCGGACGGTACGTGTTATTAGCAGCTTCTGCTGATGGCGCTATCAGTGAAGTTGCAGCAGATCTTTCAGAGCTGCACTGCCTGCAAACACACACCCAGATAGCGCGCGTGTTGAAGGGAAACCACAAAAATACTCAACACGCCCTCTACTGGACGAGGCCGGACAGTGCTCTTTAATGCCTTTCAGCTCTCTTTTAAAAGACAAGGCGCATTTTCATCACAGTTTACATGTACACAAACCACCATATAATTCAGACTGACGTGGTTAAAACAACAATGAACTCACTTTGCCCCAAAGGTCGTTGGTCAATCGAAACATGTTCAGTGCTCGACGTTTGCTTCGTAGTTTTACACTGGAGCTAAAAAAAAAACTAATGTAGCTATAGCGAGCAATAGAAGCTTATTCGCTTGCTAATTAGCTAGCTAGCATTGTGCAAACTGCAGCACCAAATTTTTACACACTCACCTCAAACCGTGTTGAATTGTAAAGTAATCTCAAACAGACTTGTCTTTACTTATGGTTTTATATTACATTTTGTTATCTTTTAAAAAATGGCAAAAGTACAGACAAACTAAAGGCTTCAGGATGGCTGCTACTACTGATTTAGCTATGCTAATGTACTTTGACTATGTTTTTATACATAGCAGTATGTAATACAGTGTCACAAAAGACAAAAATGTCTTAGGGTAAAGGAGAAAATAGTATAAACAAGATTGGAAATTCTGCTTTTTAAAGTTTAAATAAACCTGCTAAAGAAACAGTTTAGAGCAGCATAAATTCCACGCTGGTCTAAGCTGGTTTATGCTGGTCTCAGGCTGGTCAACCAGATCATCCAAAACATAACATGTGCTGGCTTTGCTGTTGACCAGCTATGCCTGTCTATGTTGTTTTTTTTTTGTAGCAGGGACACGTTTATAGCAGTTTCAGAGATACCCAGACACTATGACTATGAAAACTGCTCTTTAAAAAATCAATCAATCATAAAAACTACTTCTCTGTCAGTGCAAATGTATAGTACTTTCAGATTGTAATAATGATTGATTATGCCATGCTCAGGGTTTCAGTGAGTCATAGTATTAATCCCCAGACACTATGTTTTTGTGTTTGTCAGTTTACAAGCTTATATTGGTTTCTATAAGCCCCAGACCCTATGATTATGAAAATGATATTTGATAAATAATCAGCTATTAATGTAACAGTATACGGGCATCAGATCATTATTGATTATACCATGCTTATGGACCCACAATATTTTCTATCAGTCATAACATTAAACCACAGACACTATGACGAGTCACGCTGCTCTCAACTAAATCATTGTGATAATGACTTATTTTTATTATGTGCTGTGGCATTGCTTTCAGTGTCTGAGCATGCAGTAGGCCAGGTAGAGGAGGTGAACTGACTGGAGTTATTCAAACCGCAAGAGGACCAGTATGTATGTGTGTATGTCCATGCAGGAAGCAGCAAAGTTTCCCCAGCCCCATATATACAATACTCACTTCACTGCAATGCAAATAACACACCTACTGGCCTCAAAGAGCCACTGTGTCAGGGTCTTCAGGGACAGATGCTTTCATAACACAACAAACAATTTCAGTAGCTTTTATGCTTGCTATTATCATCAGAAATACTCTACCCAATAAACCTAACAAAATGTTTGGCATCACATTTTGGCTGTACAGTGACAGAAAGTTTGAAATGAAAGCATGCTATGTAACATCCCAATTTAATAAATATGTTATAAGAACAGAGTTAGTGGGTCAGCTGGCATTAAGAGAGAAAGCAATGCATGCATTTGAAGGAAAACACCAAAATGAAGAGGAAGGGTCTGTTTACATTCCAATATTTAATTTCTAAAACATACAAACAAGCAAAACACCAACAAAAACAATTAACTTTCATGAACATTGAAGACCTAAGAGGTTAAATATCAACATACAAGGTACAAATCATCATATAGTAGCCTATTCACAAACAAAAAATTGCACATACACAATTAAATATCCATAACAAAACAAAAAAGTACAAATAACATACAGGATGTGTGGTGGGGGTTATGTACATATAAATATTAAAGTTATATTATATACATTTGCAATACACTACTGCTCAAACGTTTGGAATAATTTGCCATATTAACAATTTTAATTATTTTAAATACTTATGTAACTTATGTAACTTCTTCAATGTGGATTCAATTATTGCAAACTATTCACCAAAAGTTACTTTCAAACTTTGAATAATTCTTTGAGCAAGTTTTTGAATCATAATTAATATACTGTAATTATTTATTTACATAAACTGTTTTGTCAAGTTATCTGTCTTGAAATTTGATCTCCATGTTGAATTGTGGATGATAATTTCAATATAACTTTCAATACTGCTGATGTTATACAGCTTCCTCTGTCATTTTAAAATCACTGACAGCTCCGTTCATGATTATGAACACATCGTAAACACACTTTTTTTAATTCACCCAGTGTACTAGTGTATTATTGATTATTTAAAATCTGCAAAGTCAAATAGGATGAGGATATAAAAATCATTTTATACATTCATATGCAACTAAATTGGTTTTAGATTATTAAAAGACAGTAATTCCAAACTTTTCAATGGCAGTGCATGTACCTAATCACAAAAATATATATATTTAGGAGTGTCTTTCAAGTAATTTTATATATATATATATATATATATATTAGTAAATAAATCATATGTATGGGTTTTGTTTTGAAAGCATGAAGCATTAAAACTAATTAATCTGTTGAGGATTCAGGTGAAAAAAAGTCATTTATATAAAAAAAAAATCGTTTGCAAAATGAAGTACTTGTGATTTTTAAAAGCAGCTCTAAATGACTTTAATTGTGATTTTATACTAGCTATATGATTTATATAATATATATGATTGATTACATGATTGTAGAGTATTATTGTGGTTTACATAATGCAATACTATTTTTTTTTTTGAAAACCATGGAGTATTAAAACATAAATCAATCTGTAGAGGTTTTGGGTAATGAAAAGTCGCTTTATTATTTAAAAGTGGTTTGCAAAATGCAGCAGTTTTTTTAAAGGCAGCTCCGAACAGCTTCAATCGTGACGCCCTGGTTGGTGCTGTCGAGCCTGCAATGCCTGTTTTCCAGCTGCAGAGGAGCGGCTGTGCCTAGAGATGGCGCTATGGAGTATATATGTGTTAGAGTGCCGTTTCCCTCCATGGTTTCTCCCTTGGCTGAGTAAGTTGGCGTTTGGTTCAGATCATTTATTCAGCCCCCCTTTCGCTCTCCCTCCATCAGGGCATCTTTTCTGCCTTCTGGGCTGAACACGAAACCCAAGAGGGAAAACAAAACAAAAACAGTCCCAACTTTGTGAAAGGGCGACATGGACATGAAAAAGAGGATCCACTTGGAGCTCAGGAACAGGACACCATCTGATGTGAGTGATTATTTTAAATACATATATATAAGCCCAAACCTTGCAGTTTTGAGCCTGGCCATGCTTACTGACCTGTGCACTCACCAGTAGCCACATGGGCTTAATGTTTGAGTCTGCACTGCTGCTGCTGCCTTAGTATTCACTCTTAGTGCCACACTGGCTTGTTTTGATACCACACTGTAAAAACCTTTATTGAATCGTTTAGTTTAGAAACGTGGCTCTCTCAGGCTGCTGCCAGAATTATTTGAGCACTTCAGCTTTTCTACCTGCTCGATGTTGTGGCTGTAGAGCGTTTAGTACGCTCACATTTTGAGAAATTATTTTACTAACTTTTTCCCCAGCTCTGTGCTTGTGTGGGGCTGCTGTTGGTTTATTTCACCAGTCTGTGGTGGCCATGTTTGCTGCTATGCTAAGCTAACCCAGCGCTGCTAAAACGGGGGCGCCGTTTATTTAAAGCAGGAAAAAGCACTTCAGAATCGCGGCTAACCACGTTTAGGCGTTTAGATCATCTTTGTGGATATTTTGGTCCCGCCTGTCCCTTTCTGGTTCGCTCTGGCCACAATATTCAGGTGTTGGCGTGCAGGAAAATAGTTGCCACACCGTCTGCCGACTGTACCGTAAAAAGCAATGGACACGAACTCCCGACTTATGTGCGTTTAACAGGCGGCTCGCTGCTGGATTTAAAGGCACAGACTTGTAGTTTAAAGAGTATCGAGTGATTTCTAAGCTGGCATGAGCGAAAAAAGCACCAAATATGACTAATACAGTGGTAACACGTCGTATAAATCAAGCCCTGTTTCTTAAGAAGTTTCTGCGGAGTGACACAGTTTGATCAGCGAATTTTGTTCCCGCCATTACGCCACACAGCAGCCGAGGAGACTGTTCCTGTAATATTTCCTTTAAATGATAAAAATAAACAAATATTGCATGTAGTGCCCATATAAAGCGATTAACGCTGTCGTTGTGAGAGGTATATATTTCAAATTGTACCATAACCACGACTAAAAGTCGCCGGGGCCCGAGAAACGTTACGTTAAATGTAACGTTAGCTCCATCTGCTAATAGTAGTTTCGTGGAAAGATATCTCACAATTTCTGCTTAAAAACATGCAAAACCGTGTCTAAAATGTGAGATTAATCCGTACGTGAACTATAGAAAATGTCTTACACGCCACACAGAGCATTTTAGCCATTAACGTTGAGGTCTCTGCATGCTGCGTGTAGGGAAGCGCCATGTTGTCTTTGCTGCTGTGGGAGAAAGAAACTCTCTCCATCTTTGTGTCTCACTAAATTTCCGCTCACTGCTTTTCTCCCCGTCGTTTCTTTCACACGATCTCGAGCAAAAGAAGCAAAAAAAATACTCGTCACGGAGGCCATTTTTCGGTTTGTACAGCTCTCCACTGGCGTTAATAAAGAGGTCCCGGTTAGTTTAATGGGTTTAAAGGCGGTGAGGTGTGTGGCTGAGCGCTGCTGCTGCCAGCAAAACGCTGCATTTGTCATGAGGAGCTGCTGTGAAAGGCTACGACACCACCGTCTAACTAACACATACTGCCTCTCCATCACTGCCAACAGGGCACTTGTAGGCTAAAGGTTACTCTCTGAGCATGTTTTCACTGTTTTTGGACATGATCTGACAAATGGGTGTCGGTTTAGAAATCCCACCACGTGAATCTGTCAACCAAATTAATGTTACACGTTGGAAAATGATTTTACAGTAATTAGAATAACGGCTGGGCAACATGGCAAAAATATAATATCACAGCACATGCTGTTTATGGCAATATATATTTTTTTCTGAGAAACAGCAGGAGCAGTCAAAAAGACCCAGTAATGCCACATTAAAAAAAAAAATAATAATTTGGAACAATTTGTCAAATAAAGCACAACATTTTGGTATTCAGTAACAGCTGCATTCAAATACAGAGTTAGTACACCTGGCTCAGGTTATTTACATCATAAAATTGCAACACAAATCGGCCAAAATCAAAATATTAAATTAAACAGGCAGTTGCTCAGTGCTCTTTAAATACTCATGATATCCACAATTTGCTCCCAATATAATTGTCAGCAAATGTCATCATACTGTTCACCCCTACTACATAAATTTAATTTCACGAATACTGATCTTATGAAATGCGAGCATCTTGACACGTGAACTCCGATTTGGGGGTTTTATATACTGTATTTTTAATATATTTAATCCCAGGAACAGAAAGACTTTAGAACAGATCAGTAAAGTTAATGTAAAACGTTGGAAAGTGTTTTATTACAAGAAATTGCACCTCAGTAATACTGGCCTTCAGAAAGTCAAGCATCTTGTCGTGTAAGACTGTAAATATTTCCCTCTCATTTTGGATTATATAATATGTTCACAAAGTATTTAACCCCTGGTGTGCTGGTGTATCTGGATCAACCAGATCCATTTTAAAACAATTAAACCGGTGTATCTCTAGAAGATGCATCTCGATAGTAGTAATTTTGAAATGCAAACATTGTCTCCTCTATTTCAAGGTTTCAGATAACATATAATATTGATTATTAACACCTGAAATGCTGGAGGGTCTCTGTTTGGAATATTTCTTAAATTAAGCTAATCCATCTAATCCTTCCTTTTCATTAAACTGTTAGATGTTAATATATTCATTTTAAAAGTTGGTCCTTTCTACAACACTTGGGCATACAGACATAGCTGGGCTAAATTAGGATGAATCTCGTGTTGTGATAACAGCAAAGGCTAACTTTCATTGTGTTTCTTGTTGGTGTTTTAGGTACGAGAACTTGTCCTTGATAACTGCAGATCAAATGAGGGGAAAATTGAGGGCCTCACAGCAGAATTTGTCAATCTTGAATTTCTCAGTTTGATAAATGTTGGTTTAATCTCAGTGTCCAACCTCCCTAAACTTGGAAAACTCAAAAAGGTAAGACACTTTCTTTCTGCTTTCTGCTGCTGATCATAATAAATTGCACAGTGTTGCCCATTCTGGTATTTATGTAATTTTATACAAGTTTATGTATGTATGATATGCCTATAGTAAGTGTTGTAAATTCATTATTTCAGTTGGAACTCAGTGACAACAGAATTTCCGGTGGACTCGATGTTTTAGCAGAAAAACTTCCAAATCTCACACATCTAAACCTGAGTGGAAACAAACTGAAAGACATCAGCACATTGGAACCTTTGGTTTGTGTCTTTTCTTTAATCTAAGAATGTAAACTTAACAGTTTTGCTCAATTATTGACAGAAAATGATCTCTATTAAAAATGTCTTAATCTCATCTGTGAACTCTGCAGAAAAAACTCGATCACTTGAAGAGTCTTGATCTTTTCAACTGTGAAGTGACGAATCTGAATGATTACCGGGACAGTGTGTTCAAGCTGCTGCCGCAGCTAACATACCTGGACGGATATGATATGGAGGACCGCGAGGCATCTGACTCGGACGGGGAAGTGGACGGAGTGGACGATGATGACGACGAAGGTGAGTTTAGTCCAACATTTCAGCTCTACGGTTGGTGAATTAGTGCTATAATGTTTGTTTAATACTACTTGACTGAACCATATTAGAAAAAGTTACACTGAAGAGTTTTACTTTAAGTATTTGTGATCAGTATTGCAATATTTGAAAATCAAAATAAATGATTCCCAAATGGTGCTGATTATCACAATAAAAAGGATGCATTTCAAATATTTAAATATTCTGTTGAACCTTTATATATAATAAACTTATTGAACCTAGAATAACTGTATTTCATTAATCCTCAGAATGTAATTAAGGCAGCCAGTCAGGGGACTAGATTTTGAAACAGACATGCTTGTTGGCTCACTGATTCCAAGACTGACTACTTAGGTACTGAAATTTGATTTTATTTAAAATTAATTTTGGAAACAATGTCAAACATTATATTATTAGTTTTAGTGTTAATAACATATTTCTTTTGCATTTAAACCTAAGCATTTAGATGAAAATGTCTTTCAGATTATAAAAAATGCATATTCAGTTATGAGTGTCCAATCTTTTGACTAGGGGTGTGTGTGTGTGTGTGTGTGTGTGTGTGTGTGTGTGTGTGTGTGTGTGTGTGTGTGTGTGTGTGTGTGTGTGTGTAAGTAATCAATGCAGTGTATAATTCCATTCTATTTCATATATTTGATGTTTTCACTATAATTCCAAAATTTCGAAAATAGTGAGGTAAATCTTGTTACAAGTAGGTCCTTTTGACTGGTTCTGCATATTGTAGTGTTTAAGTCTGTTGTAAGCATCTTGTAAATTCTGTTTTGTCTTTCTGTAATAAATACTGTTTTATCATGTTTTGTAATTTCCTTTTATTGCAAAAAATTAATAACATTCCTATCTAACCAACTTCACATGTCTACAATTTGTGTGGCATAGAAGGTGAAGGGGAAGAGGATGAGGATGGTGAGGAGGAAGACTTTGATGAGGAAGAAGATGATGAAGAGGAGGATGAGGACGAGGTAGAAGGAGAGGAAGACGATGAGGACGTTAGTGGAGAAGATGAGGCGAGTGCTCATTTTATTGTTTTATCTACAATGAAACCTAGACTGGGACAGTAACCTGAAGCCTGGTGCTGTCACACTAGTCCTGCAGGAATTAAGAGATAGTTTGGTAAAAAAAAAAAAATCTAATTTCCAGTTTTGCCCTTTTTCTTAAACAGTTTGTGCATGTTTGGTGTCTGAAGTTTGCTTTGTTAATTTTGCACTGGAGCTACAGGGCTAGTATAAAGCTTAAGCTGACCAATAAGCATGGTGCTAACTGCATGCCTTGACCATCACACACTTGCTTCAAACCGTGTCAAGTAATGTCAGATAGACTTGCTTATGTGGTTTCTGACACTGTATAACATTCTGTAATCCAGCAGTACAAATGTATAGAAAGAATACAGGCTTCATGTTGGGTGCTGCTACTGTTTTTAGCTCTGCTAATGTACTTTTGTCCATTTTTATTTAAAACAGTGTCTCAGACAGTGTCAGAAACCACATAAGCATTTCTATTTGAGATGACTAACATTATTGACAGCCCAGTTTGAGGTGAGTCAGTGACTGTTTAGGCATACTAATGTGTACCATCATGCTAATTGGTGGACGTAAGCTCTCATTATTTGCTAGCTACATTAGCCTCATGGCTCAAGTGCAGTAATTAAAGAAGCAAACTTCAGACACCAAACATGTCTTGGCTGACATTTGGGGTAATGGGGGAAACTGTGTTAACTTTCTGCTTTAACACACCTGATTCAATTCAGTAATTCTTTTATGAGTCTAGCTAGTATGCTAAAGCTGTGAAAACACCTAGTGCTGTGAGTGAAACCCCCTACTGAACAGTGTAAATTCCTCTGATTCAGGAGGAAGACTTTGGCCAGGATGGAGAAGTAGAAGATGAAGATGAGGATGAAGATGATGATGATGAAGGTGCGTTTTTATTTATAAAGCCTGTAATGTGTAGGGCTGGGCAATAAAACAATATTTTATTGTTATTTTGATAAATAATGCGACAGTACACTTTTCTTTCTTTTTTTCTTTTCTTTTCTTTCTTCTTTTCTTTTCTTTTCTTTTTCTTTTCTGGAGCATATTGCAGTTATCATCAGGACTTAAAGAAACTACATGTTTCATCACAAAGTGATTAGCATAATTAGGCCTGTTTTATTTGGATTAGTGAAGCGCAGTTTGTGAAACATTGAATTAAAGTCATTGTAATTGCGGTTCTACTTTGTCTGCTCCCACTTATTACATGTCAGAAAAACTAAATATCGTGATGCATATTGTGTATTGTGAAACTGTCTTGAAGCATCATAATAGAATATTTTTGCCATATTGCCCACCCCAACTCTAACGTTAAAGAGGCATTTCCAGTCATTTCACACACCCTGAACTTGATTCAGCTCCACTGACAGAAACTTTCTGCTGTGAGAAACTGGATGTTGTTCATTTCCACTGGGAGCTGCACTTCCTGTCGCGTGGCCAACACCTGCAGAGCTGTGTCACAGGGGTTTTTATGTATTCATTTTTCTACATATAGAACTATTTGTATATGTTATGTGAGTGATGGACAGAGACATTTCACTGCCCACAATGAACAAACAAGAAAAAAAACACAAAACATATAACAAGGCATAAAGTAGACATACAGTAGCCACGCATACATAACAGTCTACTGATTAAGAAAATTAAACAGTTTTTTGACAAAGGCAAAAAATAAAAAATACCTCAGCAACAATGTAGAAGTTTTTCAAAGTATTTCATTAAAAAAGATGAACAAGAAGCCACTAAAAATACTGTATGGCATAGAAAGGAGCTCTGAGTTCTACACTTGGACTAGTAGGAGAATATTTGCATTGGAATGCAAATTTCCAATTATAGTTGATTTTTTTTTTTATGTTTTATATAAAAAAATGAATGTTTTTATATTTTATATTCATTTTTTAATGTATGGTTTAATCAAATAATTGACAAACCTAGTAGATATGCTCACAGTTTAGTCCTGTTGACACCCAATGTATGGTTTCTTCACAGCACATTAAGCTAGTCACCACATCATCTGTGATCTTGGGGACTTTCAGGGAAGTTCCAACAATAAACTCCTACTCTGCACATGCAGGAACAGTGTTTTAGCTGTTTGAAGTACTTAACTGATCTTTTTCTTACTTTTTTGTCATCATTGGCAGGGGGGCCTAGCTTTGTTTGTTGGCTAGCTGTGATTTGCAAGTTAGCTTGAAAGCTAGCAGGAAAGGTAGGGACTAGGCACCCCAAACTGGCTGAACTAGATTTCCTGTTTTCAGACGCTTTTGTTCTCTTAGCCTCATTTGTCAAAACTGCCTGTTTGCAACCAAAACAAAAATTTTGCATTCATCTCTCGGTATGTTTTTGGAGGGTGTGGTATCTTGCTTGCTGAACAGCAGTTCTCACAGCCCAGCACATTAAACTACTGGATTTTGTTAGTAGTTTTTGAACTAGATTTATCTGCAGCTCTCTCCATAGCACAAACATCTAAAAACGTGTTTGTGGGAATGTGGCTTGTAGGGGTGAATGTCTGACAACAATTTCATTTATGACTTAAGGATAATGATTCTTTAGGAAATAATTCAGTGCATAATGAGTAAGGCACTGAATTTCATAATGAAATTTCACATTTCATCACAACTATTGTTATTTTTAAAAATACCCTGAATACATAAATATAAGTGGAGGAACTATTTAAACAGTACTGGAATATAGAAAATTAACACCATTTCTTCACATTTAAAAATAGTATAGCTGGTGTTTAGCATGCGTTTACAGGCTTTGAATACTCATTGGTGTTTCTGAACAAGTCCGTGAACACTCATTCTCAAAAATCACCCTTAAAACTATAATGCTTACATTTCATAATTAACCATAAGTTTAAATAGGTTTGTTACTGCGGTTCAAAATGTATCCAGCAGGCAGCAACAATGTATTAATACATTAGCCTCCATGGTAACCTGACTCCACCAGTTTTGCTGTGAGCATTTTCCTAAAAATGCTCCCACACATGTGGTTTCTCGGGTGTCTTTGCCGTTTTAGCTTCAGTAGCCACGTGGAAAGCGGTGCCGTTTGTTGTGCTCTGAGGTGAGGTGCCTGGCATTACTTTGACGCGTTTATCTAAACCAGCTACCATTTCTTTATTTTAACATTTTTCATATATTAACAGTAACTGTACTTCAGCACTTCTCAAAAAACATTACTCAAGCATTCCTTCCTCTGATTGTTATTCAGACCAGGCTTAAAAATTATCCTGAGAATATTACTTCTCTCCAAAAAAATAGAAGGCATCGTTAATTTGAATATTACGGTAATTGACTAATCAATTCCGCAGTCAGAGCTTTTGAACTGCCATCTTGTGATTTTAAGACCTTCAGTGTAACAGAATGTTTCTTTCACAGAAGAAGAAGAAGCAGCAACAAAGGGAGAGAAAAGGAAACGAGAAGCAGATGACGAAGACGACGACGAGGATGAGGATGACGACTAAGCCAACGAGCCAATCAGTTACCAACTTCTCCCTCCCTCAGACCCCACCTTGACCTTTGCATCCCACTCGGCCATCCCCCACCCCCCATCCCTCCGCACTTCTCCCCCAGCTCTGAGCTCCCTGTGGGGGCGGACTGTACTGGACGGGTGCAGCGTGTGGAGCTTCACCCGTGGAGCCCAGCGAAAGCTCACTCAGCATTCCACAAGTTCTCTATCAAATCCTGCCCTTTGACCTTCCCCTTGCCCCACCCTGCCCCGCCCTGTGTGTTTAAAGACCCGTGTGAGGACTTTGGGGACTGGTATCTAGTTTTGGGTCTGTGCTTTTAATATTTTGTTGGAGAATCTTCTCTACTTTTTATTTTTATTTTTTTTTTTGCTGTTGAGTTTTTTTCCTTTGTCTTTTTGTTCCCAATTTCCCAATAAGATTTATTGCTATAGCAAATGTGCGACAAGCAAGCCATAATTTTAGTGTGGCGGCCTGTCGTGCAAATCAAGGTTGTAGCTACATTTTTACTTTCTGTAAGACAACAAACAAAAACAAAACTTTGTAAATAAAATGATAACATTTTGTGCTTTCCTCGTCTCTCTCTCTCTCTCTCTCTCTCTCTCTCTCTCTCTCTCTCTCTCTGTCTCTCTGTCTCTCTCTCTGTCTCTCTGTCTCTCTCTCTGTCTCTCTCTCTGTCTCTCTCTCTCTCTGTCTCTCTCTCTCTCTCTCTCTCTCTCTCTCTCTCGTCTCTCTCTCTCTCTCAAGAAATGAGCTTTGTGGATAAAGGGTGAGGCGATCCTGCAGCATCTACTGGCTAATCAGGCCTTATGGTGTCTGGCACCATACCTGTGTGTATTGCAATCACAGAATGGTCAGGTGGAATCAAGTGAACACCAAAAAAACAATCTACTCAGATTTGCTCTGTGTCCCTAATACAAAACCATATTCAGAGTATAAAGGTAATTCAGAATTTAAGCTCCTTTGTTGTTGCTACTGTACTGCTAGATTTCCATGAGAAATCATGTGATTCTACTTTCCGTCTCTGTCTACTTTCACAGTTCTGTTATGTGATGGGAAGTGGACACAGGTACTTGACCAGGGGACGGATAGCTCTGGGTTTGGGTTTAGTAACTGTGCTGGGTCATACTGCCCGATGCAATAACTGTACACCAGCAAGGTGAAGCGACAAGGGAGGGGATCTTAATAAAGTGGTTAGTGATTGTACACAGTGTATTAAATGACAGCAGCACCGCTGTGCCTGATACACTCCTACCAGCACCACATTCTACCATGTCAGCATTGCTGCGCTGAGAATGGTCCACCACACAAATAATGTCTGGTCAGTGGTGGTCCCTTTCCATTGATGGACAGGATGTTAACCTGTGTAGCAACAGATGGGCTACTGTCTGTAACTATTAACCTGCAAAGTGCACCTATATCTTTGGTGTTTCTGATTAAACGGCCGATGATTATTTCTATTATTTAGTGCAGCGCCTGTGTACCCCACCATTAAATGTTTCTGTTGGTTCCTGTGATTTTGTACTATTCTGGCTTTTCCTGATGGGTTGGTATCACAGTATAAAGGACTCTTAAGGCCTAACAGGTTTTCTGGGACTAAGTTTAGATGCATTTGATAGTTTCCTAACAAGTTTCCTAAGCCAGTACCCATTAGAAAGCAAATCTTCTAAAAGTCTTTTTTTTAGCAGCCATTAGAGTCCTTTACACTGTGATTTCAACCCATCAGGAAAACACAGAACACCATGAGTGACTTCTGGACACTAGCAGGAACCTTTAATGTTGGTTATGTTTTTCAGCAGGGTACAGAAAAAACTAAGGATTTTAAAAACAATGTCAGATTGAATGTTAAGTCTGTAGACCATAGCAGCTGAATGTCCATGAAGTTGACCTCAGACATTAAACTGAGCTGCAATAACCAGACAGACCCATTCCTCAGATTTGGTTATTTTTGTTCTAAGAAAGCAACATTCAAGAGGGGACATAAATGTTCAAATAAGATTTTTGTGTACCTTAAATCAGCTGTTACGAACTGAAGAGGTTTTTAATCGTAGTTCTAGTTTTGGAATTGATTATAAGTCCTATAAGGCCCTAACCTAACACACAGTTTTGCAGTTCTTTTACCTCCGGATAAAGGAGTAAAGAATTCATATCTGCCAAACTTGCTATGACTGGCCCCTCCAAATATGAGCAAATACCAGAGTCTGATACAAACTGGAATTAGGTCATGAATCTGCTTTCAGAAGACTTTGCTGTAACTCTAAAAACATTCATATTGATGATTAGAAGGCCGATTCCCCATGATACCTTGGTAATGCTTCTGCTCAGTGGAGACTGAAGTTAAGAACATAAACTTTGGAGTACAATGGGTCCATATCCTAAATTCTTCATATATTTTTTAGTTTTCTTTCTCTGAGATCTGTCTATCAAGTTTGTGTGGATTTTTGGCAACAAAAAGAGCTGTAATTCATTTTTACATGACCATTTTTCCAAACTCTACTGTTCCCTTAGTATTAAACAATCTGGTTTTGTTACTGTGCCTTTAAGACTGATGCATGTAAATGAGCTCTGTCCTGATTGGCTGCACTTTATTGTGTCTCTTCAAAAAGCATTCTGGGCTGATAAATTCAATGAATATATAAAAGCCTGTTACAGTTCATTGCCAGGATCATAATTTATCAGTCAAGTTTGGCCTAGCAGATTTACTCAGTTACATTACAATTATGAAGAATCTATAAAAAGTGTAAAACATTGAGCACAGCTCTTAAAAAAGTAGAACAAATTCTTATACCATGTAGAATATCTAATGCAGAAAAGAGTCTTTTTTCACTAGATGTCAGGAGCCGTATGTATGAAGTGCATGTCAAATCAACACAAAAGTGATGCTCATGCATATTTCTGATTTTGTCTGTAGGGGTGTTTTTCTTCAGATTTATGAGAAACACCTGTCAGAGCGAGGACGGAGAAATCAGCATAGATGTGGGACAGCATGGATGCGCACATATCCACTCCCATACTTACCCTGGAAATGTTTAAAAATGCCAATTAACCTGTTAATAAGTATTCTTTCTTCACTGCACCTGAAGACACACTCATGTCTGATTCTCTGTTTTCTAGTGGCAGCAGAGCAGCTGTTGTGAACGACAGTCATATATATGTGTATATATATATATATATATATATATATATGTGTATATATATATATATATATATGTATATATATATATGTATATACATATATGTATGTATGTATATATGTATATGTATGTATGTATATATATATATGTGTATATATATATATATATATATATATACACACACACACACGCGTGTACAGAACCCCAATTCCAAAAATTGTGTAAAATGTAAATAAAAGCATTTTAGAGAGGCAGAGTCTCTGAGAAGCAAAGATGGGCAGAGGTTCATCTGCGAAAAACTGCATCTAAAAATTATGAAACAATTTCAGAAAAATATTCCTCAATGTAAAATTGCAAAGAATTTGGATATCCCACCATGTATCCCACCAAGTTAAAGCTGTATCATGCAAAGAAGAAATCATATATAAACAGTATCCAGAAACGCTGCCAACTTCTCTGGGCCCAAGCTCATTTACGATAGACTGAGGCGAAGTGGAAAAGTGTCCTCTGGTCCAATGAATCAAAATTTGAAATTCTTTTTGGAAATCATGGGCACTGCATCCTCCACACTAAAGACCTCCCAGCTTGTTATTAGCACACAGTGAATGCAAGTGTGTATCAGAACCTTCTTCAACAACACGTGGTTCATTCCTTGCGTTCATCACTCAATCAGCCAGCAATGTTCATGCAGGACGATGCCCCCTGTCACACAGCAAAACGGGTAAAGCAGTTCCTTGAAACTGAAAACATTGAAACAATGAAATGGCCAGCCCTGGTCCCTGAGTCCTGATCTAAACCCAATAGAAAACCTCTGGAAAATCCTTGTTGACAAAGTTATGGTCAAGAAACCCACAACAGTCACTAAACTGTGGAAGAGACTGCAAGAAGAGTGGACCAAAATCACACCAGAGCAGTGTGAGAGACTAGTGATGTCCTGTGGCTGCAGATGTGCTGAAGTCATTCAAAGCAACGGCCTGTACACTTCCTACTGATTGGTGACTGTTGTAATCTTCAGAAAATTTAGTTGTAATCTTTGTCTGTGCTACAGTCATTGCTGTTCTCTAAATTTGATCATTGTGATCATTCTGCAAAATAAAGGTTTTATGTTGAAGTACCTTGGTTATTTTGTAAAACACTGTTCTGGTGGCATGGTATACCCCTAACAAAAAATCCTTCAAATGTTGACCAATGACGATTACATTATTTCTGAAAAAATCAAGTGTTCATAAATTGTTCTCTAATTTTGATCTCCAGTGTGTATATATATATATATATATATATATATATATATATATATATATATATTATATACTAAATATTTGTTTGGGACAGATTGGGAAAAGATCAGATATATAATATATTTAGTTATATATATGTATTTACTGGATTCAGTTATGAACAGAAAAAAATCACATTTCCACTGAGGTCTGCTACCTCTTCTTTTACTAGTTGTAATTTTCCTTCAAAATATGCATCATCTCTACAGTACGTCAAGGAATACACAAGTTTCAATTTCATAAATATAATTTTTTACATAGACAGCTGCTCAGTGTTATTTTTGAGTGTACACACCCTTTATGCATATGGCTCCAGGTGTGCTGCAGGGTGTGCTAAAGAGGCTCTGTAAGCTGCATTAACAATAGCAACTGTAAAATCCTTGAAACTTGAAATTTCGGCAACATTGTCCAATAACACTCCTGTTGTTTGTGTCAACCCGCCTAGAAAAAAAAAAAAAGCATATTGCTACTGTTGAAACAAAGCCTCATATCTCAGTTTTTGTTGTTTTGTACTTTTTGTTTTTTTACAAAATATGTAAAATTTCCTGCTCCTGTAAAGTTATAATTTTGGAGATATGAGTTTTCGTTCCGACATCAGCAATATGTTGTGTTTTGGATGATGTTATGCTGTTCAGTATATGCTGGTCACCAGCAAAACCAGTAAATGTTGTGGTTTTGTTGCTGGTATGCTGGTCAACCAGCATGCCTATGCTGGGTGAGCAGCTAAACCATCATCAGGCCAGCAGTCCTCCAGCATAAACCTGCTTAGCTGTCCCTTTTTTTAGCAGGGAAGTATGAGTAGTTGAAAAATTCTAAGAACACTCCAATTAAGAATCTAGACAAGTGTCGCATGCGTGGAGAACTTATTAAATACAGTACCTCTCTGTAAGAAAAAGAAGTGTACGCTTCATCTTTGGAAAATATCACTTAAAAGTTAACAGTGGATGAGCTGTTGTGTCTTCTGCAGCTCACAGCTGTGATGATACAGCTGGAGTAAATTGGAATGTGAAAAATAGTTGTGCTACGTCTGCAGACACTGTTTCAGTAGCTAGCAAGATGTTGTTTTAACTTGTGTATTGATTGCATGTTAAAAAAGTGCATAGACTTGAGGAATTTTAGGTGGAACCTTATTTTCCACCGTCAGCACCATCAACATTTTATGTAGTTGTCTCTAAATGTGCATACTCATTACAAGATCACGTCTGACCTGTGAGATTACATTGGGGCCAGTTTCTTCCCTTTCAATGATTCAATAAAAGCTAATTTTGCTTATTATCTGGCTAAACTGAGAAAACTTGCTTTGTGAAGTACCCCACTGATCTTCTCCCAATCTGTCCCAAACAAATATTTGGTTTACTCAAAAATAATGGAATCTGTTATCACTGAAGGTCATTACTATATAGTGTTTGATCAGCAGTCATACCGCTCTATTAACCCATCAAATATTCATTAAAATAACTTAAGACAATAAAAATGATCCAATTCTATAAGCAAGTCTATAATCCTGCTTGTTACAAAGTTTTTCCTTTATTTTTTTAGCTCATTGTGTTAATAAAAGGGGCAGATAAAACCAACTCCTGTTCAGACAAATCAGAGGATTTTCAAAGGCCTTAAAGTGATATTTCAAAGCACTGTTCTTAAAAGTGACTCAGTAAAGAGCACATTACTGTAACACATTACAGGAGCCACAAGATGTTTTAGAGAGCAACTTTAAACAAACCCTAGGAAACAGTTTGAATTCCAGTATTACAAGTCTTGCTTTGCACACACATCGCAAGCATTTACAGACCAGTGTATAAACAAATAATTTTTTTAAAACTTTGTACCTATTATGGCTTTTTTTCAGACATGTGAAAAACCTTGTGTTTTTTTAATGAAGCTGCTATATTTCAGACATGCTGTGTTTTCCCGTGCTGATTATTTGAAGATTCAGCATTTAAGTGCATGAAATCTGTGAGACTAGAAATGCAAGTACGCAAATTGCTTCCATTCATCGTTCTAACTGAAACTCTGATGTGTGGCACCATTAGCCTGCTGGCTAAGCTAGCTCAACTAGCTTAACTAGCAGGCCACAGAAAGGGTGCGATTTCAGTTTTTTGCCAATCGCTTGACTTCGGAGTGTTTAACTTATAAACCTTGGAGCATCAGTTAGCCAGACTTCAACCTGTTCTGTGATGAGCAGTGCTAGCATACTAGCTAAGCTAGTGGTAACTAGCTCCACTCTCCTAATTAATTCCATAGTTCAACATTTAGCATTTGTTGTTGGACTGATAGTTTAAGTTATGAAAAAAAGGACTGAAAATCATGCACTGCTTTCAGTAAATTAAAAAACGATTTTTTTTTATTAGAAATACTGTTGGAAGACGTGGCATAAATATAATCTCTGAATACCTACATCATTATGCCGTCCCACCTGAATGGCTCAGCAACCCTGAGCAGTTAGCTAAAACCACCCTGAGCAGAGTTTGTAAGCTTCCGCACCCATCTGTGTGGAAACGCCACTGAAATAGTTTCTGCTCAGCCCTACAGGGGAAAAGAGGATGTTGTTGTGCCCAGATTTAGACACTATCGCCCCACTGAGTACTGAGGGTTACAACTGACACATTAATGTAAGAACGCATGTTGCAGTGCGTTGGTATATGTGTTTGCGTACGCTTGCTTGGGTATATTTCTGGTCTTAGACAACAGCACCATTAGTGATTAGTACTGGTGCTAGAATAACACTAAACAGTAAACAGTAGTCGCTGATGCGCAAGTGTGTAATGGAGCTGTGAACAAATGATGCATGGAATGCATGGACTTGCAAGATTTGCAAAAGAAACACTTTCAAGTTAATGAAGAAGTATTCCTGCCATAACAGAATGGTTCTTAGTGGTGGTCCAGCACTACCACTGCACTGCACAGTTTGGAATGTTCCCTGCAGTATAACACAGGAAGCTTTAATAACCACTGGATTAGAGTGTTAGGGTGTGTATGTGGGTCCTGATTTCCTCGATTCCTCACTCGCCACTACAGAATTAATTTCATATTGTTTACTGGCTAATTCATAGTACATACAGAAAAGTTCATAGCATAAATTGTGAGGTTTTTAACTAGTCTTAAGGTCAATAACTGAATAACAAGCCTCCAGTTCAAAAGGTTCATTAGATGGTGTTGAATCAGGTGTGTTAGAGCAGGTATAACACTAAAATATGAAATTCAGTTGTTTTCCAGGGCCGATACTGAGAAACACTGTACACTTAGTGGCATGTTACATTTGCCGTGTTAAGTGAATTCTGAAATGGTGTCCGTGATGGTGACTAGAACAGTCTCAGCCTGAGGCAACGGCATCATACTGGTACAATCTTAAAGCGATATTTCAGAGAATAGTCTAATTTACACAAATTTCCCCTTACCACAACTGGAGGCTAATGAGGCAAATGTAGCTAACTAGTTTTGGAAGCTTTCCATCATGCAAGTAAGTATACAATTTAGGTCATACAAAGCTAACTGGTGCACATAGCTTACATTACTTGTTAACTACATTAGTCTCACAGGTCCAGTTGAAAACTAAACAGACAGACAAAACATGAAAGGAAAATGGGGTACATCCGATTTTTCATCAAACCATCACTTTAACTGTTTTTGTCCCCTCTGTACCATCTCACAATGTTCTTCATTCTCTGGTACTTTTGGGAAACTCAGCATTGCAATGAAAATGCTGTCAGATGCATACAAATTTTAAAAAACAAACAAATAAACAAACAAACACCCTGAATCTCAAGAGCTTTTACTTCCATTACACTTCATAAAGTCAGTCTGGATCACTAACTACTATTCCTCTAACCTTTGACTAACCAGTCACCAGTGAGCAAGTTGGTTAATCAGGCTCTTGCTGCCAGTCTGAAAAGAATAAAAGCATCACCTCCAGAGCATTTTTCAAAGCAGAGAGGTGCTGCTTCAAACTGTACCTGCACCTAATCATAACACGTCAACTGATTTGACTTAAAGATGGCCTAGATAATGAAACAATAACCATTACTGAAACTCCACATTAGCAGCAACAGCTTGAACTTTGAACAGTTGCTGCTTCAGTACAGCTGTTCAAAGGCTGTGTGCTGTTACTCTCTAGATCTGGAGGGAAAAGAACTAGCGTTACCTACCAGCAGGACAGTTAGCTAGCGTTAGCGATTTTCTGTTAGCTGAGTTAGCTAAAGTTAACTATTTACATATAGATTTTTTGTTTTTAATATATAAAAATATTTTCATATGTGTAAATATAGCTAGCATTTTTATCATATTATACCAAATCTATTTTTCTTTAAGGTTCAAAATACTATTCAGAATTAAAACTGACTATCAGGAACTACGTAGTTATTATCAATAATTGTTGATCTTGAATGATACTGAAATATGTATCTAAGATTTTTGGCCACATCACCCAGTCTAAAAAGTTGCCAGAAAAATCCTTGCTCAGAAAAAAAAGTGAAACCTCTGAGATTCAGGATGGTCTGTAGTAGGTTAAAAATAATAATAATAATAATAATAATAATAATAATAATAAGAGTAACATCCCATCCCAGTCCACACAGTGCATCAGCAGAGAACAGTGCATTGAAATGAAGATTTTTAAACCTACAGGTCTGCTCAGAGTTAACAATGATTTTCTTAGATTCCAGGCATTTTAATATTCTTTTGTTCTCTTTTCCAGTGTCTTTAAAAAAAAAAATAATAACAAGTCATAAATAAAAGAGAAATAAAGCGCGTGGGACGATGTGCAATACCCGTACAGAGAGATGGCTTTTTCACCAGCAGTTCATTCAGCCACAGACAGTATTTCAGTGTTTAACAGCTTTCAATCTTTCCCTCAGTACAGACACAGTGTTAAACTCATTATATTCCATTCCACTAATCAGTCATCCCATTAACATCATACAGCAGTTCAACTAGCAAATCAAACTTTTCAGGCTCCGCCCACAAACATGTTCTTTCGTAGCTACTGTTGTGATGTGGGACGAGCATTACAGAACCCTGGTAAAAATCCCCATTTAAGCTAATGAGAAACTCTAGAACACAACTCAGTTTTTATCACTTATCATACTTATATTTAGAGCATGTCATTAATTTGAAATGATATTTATTTTGTATGCGTGTGAAAAGTCTTATTGTTAAGGTTAGATCTGGTGTCGTTTCTCTCTCTCTCTCTCTCTCTCTGTCTCTGAGTAGCTTGACTATACTAATGCAGCTCGACTACATTCTATGTTTTCTGTCTTGTGCCATAATGTCGGTATGTATGTCAGTAGGATGAGAAAAATGTGCGGAAATCTTTTACAGTAACCTCAGCCACGCCACAGAAGCTAGCTTCTGACAAAAGCTGAGCTGTTAAGCCAGGCAAAGTCTCTCATACACAGTTAGGAGATATGGTTTCTCCTTAGGCTGGACGACATTTTTACAGTGGTATTTTTGGTAGCTCGTCCAAACTCAGTCAAACAACAGTAGCTAAAAACCAAAACACTTTTGTGGGAGGAGCATGAATCAAGAAATTAATCTGCAAAGAGAAACATTCAGTGTATTATGCAATCATTCTATATGCTATATATTCTACGTCCCTTCTTCCCAATGATTATTCAACAAATGCTCATACACACACACACACACACACACACACACACACACACACACAATTGTACACTCACACTCACTAAACGCATCATGTAAGACAGGCACAATTTTTTTCCCTAAAATTAAAAAAGTACATTTCAAAAAGGATCATCACATGCCAAAAAAATTGCATAGCTCTGAGGCATAAAAACAAATCTAAACGAAAGCAACAAATTGAAAAAAAATAAAAAATAAAATAAACATTAAAACAAACGCGCTGAGTTCTATTTTCTGCACAAAGCCATACAAAAGTCTAGTGAGGAATGCTTTAGGGTTAACGGGGTTCAGCCTATGTGCCTCACACACTCAGCTCGTCTAGGTGTGGTCAAGTGTGAGGGTGTGTGTGTGCAGGATGGGTCGTGGTGCGTTTCGGTGTATCTCAGTGTGTGTATCCTCAGCGCAAGCTCTGCACGTTCTTGACGTTTTTGATCTCGAGTTCCAGCTGCTTTATCCGAACATCCCGCTGGTTCAGCAGCTCCCGCAGCCTCCGGATTTCATCCTGCTGCTTATAGAACATCTGCCGCAACTACACACACACACACACACAGACACACACACACACACACACACACACACACACACACACAGAAACACACACACAGTTACATAACATCTGACCTGTTTTATTAAACCTTTTTAAGCAATGTATAATTATAATTATTACTATTATTATTATTGTTGTTGTTGTTGTTCGTATTGCTATTACTACTGATGTTATTACAACAAGGTGTTAAAAATATCTTTAAAGTGTTGGTCACCCCAAATGTAACTGATAACCAAGAATGCTCTGGTGCCTTTGTTTGCTTCTCTAGTTTAGCACTGAAGCTACAGAACTAATGTAGCTAACAAGTAATGGAAGCTTATACGGCGAAAATTAGCATGGTGCTATCTGCACGCCTAAATCATCACACACTTGCCTCAAAAATGGACAAAAATACACACAAAATTCAGGGTTCAAAATGGCCACTACTGTTTTTAGCTGTGCTAATGTTCTTTAGTCCGTGTTTACAGAGAACAGTGTATCATACAGTGTTAGCAACCAAATGAGCCTAGTCTACTTGAGATTCGTCTCAAAAACCAGACCAGGCCAAGAACCGCCTACCCATCTAAACACTGTCCCTATCGTCAGGAGATCTTAAACCCCCCCCATGATTTAGTGTGATGTTTGCCAATGCTGGCGTGTTAGCTTATGTAACAGAATTGGCTGTTAGCGTTCTGCTCCAGGCATGTTGAGATGTCCGAAGACATCGTGTTAGCAATAGGTTGGAAAGATGTGTTGGAGCATCATGTGTCTCAAGGAAGCATGTGTTTGCCTTCACCCTCCCAGCTTGGTAGCACTGTTTGATACGCTGAGACCTAGCTAGCATATGGAAGTGGATAAGACTAAATTGGGGAGGATAATACAGTACAAATCTGCTCACCTACTTTTACAGAAAGGAACATTTTGACTAACATGTAAAGGGGACCAAATCACAAACCTTTCTTTCAGTGATGGGGCTGAAAGAAAGGTGCATGCATTTTTTAAAACGATGCTACAAGATAAATAGGCACAGGGTAACAGCATTTAGCTTGATAACCACATATTTGTTTCGCAATGGATGGGTAAAACCCGGTGCATGGAAATACATACGCACGGTTGTGCACATAGCCATAGACTCGCAGCAGTACAAGGACAACATATTTTAGAGTGTTTTCCCCTCCTGACTAAGTAATAACACTTGCTTCAATTTTTGTTTAAAATACAAAATCTTACATAGTGCAGCTTTAAGTGTGCAGTTAGCCCTAACTGCATGTGTGTGTGTGTGTGTGTGTGTGTGTGTGTGTGTGTGTGTGTATGACCTCATTCTCTGTTTTGGGCGGAGAGCAGTGAGTGAAGTCTCTCTGTCCGTTGGTGATGGTGCTGGAGCTCCTGTCATGCGGTGGGGCATTGGTGGAGGTCTCTCTGCTCTCCCTTTCCTCCTGCTGCTGCTGCTGCTGCTGTTGTATGAGGCTGAACTGGAGAGGACCTGGACGGCTCACACTCCGCTGACTGTCAGCAGACACACTGGGGGCCTTTACTGACCCTAGGTCGGCATACGGCTCCAACTTACTGCCCGGTTTTAAAGACATCAACACAGGACCTACAGAGACACACAGAAAGAACACATTTGAGGGCAGAGCCTAAAAGAGAAATCAGCTTAGTCTCCCAGCATGTCTTTAGTAGTGCATGTTTGAGATTTATCAACTCTGACCTTTGTCCATCCCGCTCAGCCACTCCTCGGCTGTCATGGCAGGCTCCTTCCCAGCCGTCATGGGGTAAATATCCTCCTGATAGGATTCAGACTATGGAGAAAAGTATCAACACGTTTACATGGCTATCAGAAATGACATCCTTATTGCACTGAACTGGCCTCCAGGGCTTTGTGCTGAACTATAACAATAACACCATAACAATAACAGTGCTAACAGTGCAGGACGTGTCAGATACATATACAGCTGTATGGGGTGATGATTCTCGGCCTGGATTCACAAATGTATGTTAAGGAGTAAAATCTACTTAATGTATTCTTAATTTTATATTCTTCATATCAAAAATATTCTTTAAATAATTCTTTAAATAAAAATATATATAATTTTCCCCCCCATGTCTTTCTTTAAAACATTACTCAAAAACATGTTTGGCATCAGTAGTTTGCTTTTTTAGCTTTGCAATGGAGCGCCAGGGCTAATATACCTAACAAATGATGAAACCTTAGATGCACCAATTAGCATAGTGCTAACTGCATAAATCATCACAACAATCACACAAAGTTTGCCTTGTGTCAAATTTTACATAGTCTCAGGTAAACTTTCTTAAGTAGTTTCTGGCACGGTTACCTTTAAAAACGCATTCATGGGTCCACAATTCATAGCAGCGTAATTCATAGCACGATTCATTTATAGTTGTTACTGAATCATTTATAGTAGATACTGAATAATTCATAGAATTTACTGAATAATAATAATAGTTACTGAGTAATCCATAACAGATATTGAACAATTCATAGTATTTACTAAATAATTCATAATAGATACTAAATAATTTGTAGTTGATAGTGAAAATTTCAAAGTAGTTACTGAATAATTCATAATAGATACTGAGTACTAATAAGGGAATAATAAGCCTCCAGTTTAAAGTGTTAAGACTATTCTTACAAAATTCTCTTACTGGGTCTTGCTGTCTTAAGATCCTTCGTAAATTACTATTACAAGATAGTAAGCAGTGTGTATTACCCTGCGGGGAACGATCATGGATAGAGGCTCAATGAGGCTTTTGATTGTCACCAGTCTATAAAACCTGAAAACTTCACAGGAACACACATCCAGACCTCGCTTTGGCATGACACCTGAGAGAGAACACACACACACACACACACACACACACACTCTCTCTCTTTAAACACATACAAAAGATAGAACACACCACTCCTCCCTCTTTAACTTCTATACCAATTAAAGGATTTTTTTGTAATAAAAAGTCTTCACATTTTAAAACAATGTTGTTGACTTTTACAGAAATGTGACTCTTTAGAGTAAGATACAGCAGAAAAATCCAGCCAGAGGCTTCTAGAGGTCGTTCAAAATGGCCTTGTATAGTTTTAAGCATAAAGCTATTCAATGACATCACATGCTTGGGTTACTTTGGATTACCTTTTGACATTCTGATATTTTAAACCTTCATAAATGGTGGTTAAATGAATGAAAGCTTAATCATTTGGGATAAAATAAGTAGCATGTCATCATTAAAACATGACAAAAAAATAAAATGTGCAGCAGATAGGAATAAAGAAGTGAGAAGCTCCAGGTTTGTGTGCTGTTTGTTATTCAAATAATTCTGCAGGTGATTTGCATGACTGGGCTGAATACAGGTGCAGCAGAGAAAATTCTAGACGGATAGCTTCTTCTCATGTTGTGAGGAGGTGTTGGTTTTTTAAACACTGACAGAGCGACATGTGTGTGACCCCATGTCCTAGTATTGTATAAAAACAAAAGTTGCTAACACTGCTGTCAAAACCATTTCTTTTTGGTTTCAGAGGTTAAGACAGGGCTTTAAGGAGGCATAGAAAGTTCTTATTACATATAGATACTTGTGTAAGTACTTTACATAAATAAATATTTACACACACATACACACATATCCGGATATACAAAAGTATAAAAAAGTATTAAAAAAGTATGTGTGTTTGTGTGGGCGCGCATATCTTACCCATCCCTTTCTGTGGAAGTATAGAGCGATATTCGGTCAGAAAGTGCACGTATGGCTTCTCGGAGCTGATCTCATAGTACCTGATATTACCATCTCCCTACAGAGCACAGAGAAGAAGGCTCAGACACAAACATAATCAAACACCACTGCATATTCTTCACATTAATAGTACTATGCTTATAGTAATATCACAACAATATTTAGATTTTAATAGTTATTTATTGTTGCTTATTACTGAGTAACTACTTCAGTGTATGTGTACTCACTTTTCCTGCTATGTAAAGCATGTGTGTGTCAGGGTCGTAGAAAGGGAACAAAACGCCAGAGGACCCGTCCAGATCCTCCTGAAACAAAGGCTGAGAGAGGTCCTCCTACACACACACACACACACACACACACACACACACACACGTGTTCATGACAACAGATGGGCTACATTCTGTAACTCTATATCTACAAAGCGAACTTATATGGTAGATGTTTCTGATAAAATAGACAAAGAGTGTGGCTACGAAGTAGGCATTTTTATTAATCTCCTTAAAAAACCTTGGGATTCAGATGATCCAGTGATATTCAGGGGGAAACATTTCTTTGGAACATTTCTGTTTTTTTCCCCGAGAAATGCAATAGCAGCATTTTTCAAACACGCCTTTTATTTATCTCCATAGAGTAAGCTGGCTTAGACCTGGAGTTCCTTAGAGGAATGACGCCGACTACAGAATGACAAAACAATTTAGCCATTCGTGGGCTGATGCTGCATTTGACCATACTTATAAGTTATATATTTCCAAGTACAGATACCCACAGCAAACTTATGTTAGCCAATTTTTTTGTCTTCTAGTGTTTTACAAAGCTATGCAGCAACTCTGTCACTAGAGGGCGCTGTAGACTAAGTTATGTCAGGCTGAAAGAGTAAACAACAGGACGCTCACCTGATCCCAGAGTGCAATCTGCCGGTGGTTCCAGCGGGATGTCCCAGTCGACAGCAGCATCTTAAGGTTTCCCAAAAACAGAACTTTACTAGCTTTATGGGTCTTGCAATTTGTCTCCTGCAACCCAAAAAAACAAGCCTTAATCAACACTCAAATGCTGGCTGTGTTAGAACTGAGCAAATGTACTGCAGAATTCTCTACATTTCTACATAAATCTGATATAGATACTATAGAGACAAGAGAATCCAACAAAACAAAACACAATTTATATATTTTTCTATTAATTTATTGATCAAAGTGATCTAACATTAACCATCTTTGTTGGCTAAAGTATGTAAACCTCTGTTTCAGTAACTGGTGGGACCCCTTTGAGCCAAAATTACTTTAACCAAATGTTTTCTGTAATTGTTTATCTGTCTTACATATCAGCTTTTGATCATTTTGCCCAATTTCTCCTTACAGAACTGCTTCTACTCATAATGATGGTGAACTTTTTTTGCCTGAACTCCACGTTTCAGGTCCTGCCACAACATTTGTATGGGATTAGGGCAGGACTTCTTCTGCTTCAACCATTCTCAGGTTGATGTTCTGTAAATAGGGCAGACCATCCAAACTCTAATTGACTGACCTCCAATTGATTGGAACTCCTGACTCTAATTACCCTCTACAACAAAGTGGTAATTCTAGACGGTCACAAACTAGTGCCAGCATAGACAATTAATGTTGTATCACTTTGTTCAATGAATGACTGTGTTCAATTAACATATCTTAGATCACAGGTTCCCAACTCAGATCTCCCCCTGCCTTACACATGTTTTTCTAGGGCTGCCAACACACCCACTACAAGTCAAGAAGGGCTTGCTAATGAGCTAATTTGTTGATCAAGGGAACAGGGGAACATGAAAATGTGCAGGGCAGTGGGATCTCCAAGAGAAGGCTTGGGAACCACTGGCTTAGATGAAGATCTGATCGTATTTTAGATTTCTTCAGATTAAGAAATTCAAAGAATTCTAAAAGATTCAAAAACTTTGATGATGAGAAGTCAACAGAGAATGGGCAGACAGGTTCAAACTGACAAAAAGGCTATGGTAACTCAGATAACCACTCTACAACTGCAGTGAGCAGAAAGGCATCTCAGAATGCACAAAACATCGAACCTCGAGGAGCTTCCAGAATTCTAAAAGATTCAAAAACTTTCTGACAGTCACAGAAATGGTTTAAAACTATCCGGGCAGTACGTGTGTTTTTGCCATTAAACACAGTATATAAGATTAGAATAAATACTACAAAACATGAATGGATTAAGAAGAATTTTTTTTTCATTAAAGTTATTAACATAGGTTTGCTTCCTGTCTTCTCATCATTGCATGGATTTGTTAAATTCTATCAGCAACACCTAACTTAATTAGTTTAATTTAACTAGGCAATGGACTAACTAAATACTGGACTTCCTTGGGAAGAGATTTGGAAATGGTTGGAAATGGTAAACACACATCAGATAGCAATACAATGTTTATTTGTATTTATTGTAATATGTTAGTGGTTTTAAATGCTTATTGCCCAGATAAATCAATAAATGTATGTGTGTGTGTGTGTGTGTGTGTGTGTGTGTGTGTGTGTGTAGACTGTTCTTTTTCTCTCCAGAGGAGGTGTGAATTTTAAATGTGTGGTGCTGAGGGCCAGAAAAGGGGCAGTGTATGATAGAAATATGCACATTCATAGTGGGAGGAAAAAAGCCCATCCAAGTTTTAAAAAAATTAGTCAATGCTAACGACAAGATGGAAAAGCCCTTCAGTAACAATATGAAAACAGTTTTCATTTCAACTTGATTGATGAAAGTATGACAAAGTGAAAATAACATTCTCTAACAAAAGAGTACTAAAAATACTACCATTTTAGTTCTGCTCTATTCAAATAATGTAATCACATGCATGCGTTGTGTGCAAAATAATTCTGCCACTGCCAGAAAGCTCAAGTGAACTTGCGAAAAGTCCAGTCAAACAGGCACTTTACATGCATTTTAAGCATGCAACAGCCATTCAATTAGTTTTACAGTGACATGTTACACAGAACTTCAAGTCCCTGAATAGTATTCCCTGCAGTCACCAGACAAAAGTAATGCTGCAGTACTGATCACAGTAAGTAATAAACACATTTATGATGGACCTTAGTTTGACCACTCTTATAGCTTCAACTCTTACTATACAATTAAATTTGAGCAAATAAGACAAATGTGATTAATCCTGTTTAACTACCCAAAGCAATTCAATTAATCATGTTTTGTCCCTATTGCTGGATGCACTGTGATAGTTTCTGTGTGAGTGTGCACACATTAAAAATGCAATTCATATCGCTATGAAAATGCTTATTACTGATTTGTAAAGTCAGAGTAAAAACAAAAGGCCACTGAAGGGCGGAAACCTGGCTTCAGTTGACACACACACACACACGCACGCACACACACACACTCACCCGCACGAGTGTCCCTGTGCGAGGGTCGATGATACGAATCTTCTTGTCCTTGCAGGATGTAGCAAGACGACTGCCGTCCATGTTGAAGGACATAGACAGAACCACGTCAGAGTGGACACTGATTGTCCGCACGGGGTTCTTCACCACAGGTTCAGGACAGTTCAGGTTCCACACCATCACCTACACACACACACACACACACACACACACACACACACACACACACACACACATACATACATAACACAGTTTCAGATGAGCTGAAGCTCAGATTCTATTTGTTTTTCTTTACCTTTTACAGATTGCTACAGGTAAACTAACACTACTGTGCATTGAAGTGACATCATGCAACAGTACACTGATATTTGGGCGGGTGGGGTGTATGTAGGACAAAACATACATTTTTTGGTTTACCACAGGGTGAGAGAAAAAAAGCTTAGACCCTAAGTTCAGAATAACCATGACTTTAGAGGTTTATAGGCAAAAAGTGGGTGGGGACTATCACCATTTACACTGTCTCTCTTGAAACAATCCTTTTAAGGGAACATGGTCACATGTTTCATTTTCCAGATGGGCTATATCAAAATTCAATTTATGATGTTACTTACTGAATTAGTTATTTACTTTTCACGAAAATGGGCATGACTGTTCCACTTTATTAACCAACAGGCTAGACAGCATTCTAGCGTAACACAAATAAGCATCTCTTGGCAATGTATTGTCATTATTTCTGCTTCTTGCATTTGCAAATGTTCCTGTATATTACACTTATGTTGGACTTGCACAAGAGTTGCTCAGTCTAGTTGCCATATAGCTGCTGTATAGCAACTGCTTGTTCCTTATCATTACTTACACGCATGAACACAGCTAGAATGTACACACACACACACACATATACACACATATATATATATATATATATATACATATATATATATACATATATATATACACACACTCAGCCCAAGTACCTGGTAATCGTATCCAGTGCTAAACAGTACGTTGCTGGCTGTTGGGTGCCACTCTATAAGCCCCACCCTGCGGGAGTGACCCTGCAGCTCCTTCCAGGGAACTGTAATGTTCTTCATCACACCATGCTGAGGGATATCCCAGACTTTTACCTGGAAACAAAACACACACACACACACACACACACACACACACACACACACCCCTAGCTAAAGGGCAATTCCAAAGATTTTTTTTAAAAATGTGGCATAATTCAATCATTAAGATGTAAACCACAGTCAATCAGAGTGGTTTGATGTGAAATGTATCATTCTAGAGAAATTTACAGAGTCAGAATTGTTCACTGTGATGGTGATAGGAACCAGACCTCTGAAGAGTTTAATGCTACTAAAAGCTACCTCACAGAAAACTATTACATGAAATGGTTATGAATATACTGCCTGAAGGCTGAGACACTGTTTTATGACATTTTGAGATAAGATTTTATCTTTAAATATATTTTAAGGCAAGGCAAAATATCACAAATTTCTCAGATTTGCCGCTATTTTATCATTATCAACATTACATATAAAAGCTCACAAGACACGTGTAGGTTCACTGGTCAGCAAAAAAATGACTGTTTGTGTGGCAGTCATTGTGACAGCATAGGCTAACAAAGGGGCTTTGGGATTTGCTTAGGTGTCAGTTTTTCTTTTTAGGTATGTACATGCAGTAGCTACATAACTTTTTATATACATAACTTATTTTGAACAACTGGATGTACATGTATGGGGAAATTGTGTAAATTTGTTCTTTCATCACATTATTGCTTTAAAATGCAAAAAATAGGTTGTGCTGATAGAACAAATGAATATTTATAGTTATGTTTTTCTGTGTGTTTTCTGGGTGTACTGACCGTAGCATCCTCTGAACAGGAAGCTATACAGAAATCATTGAACGGGTTCCATTTGATGTCCAGCACATTCCCTCTGTGGCCAGAAACTTTTGGGTGATGAGGGTCAACCTTTCCTGTCTGAAAACACACACAGACACACACACACACACACAGACACAAACACACACACACAAAATGAACAGACTGGTTAGAGAATACACACTCTTGCCACTACAGGTGAAAATATGTGTGCAATATGTATGCGTGTGTGTGCGTGTGAGACTGTGTGTGTGTGTGAGTGTGTGTGTGTGTGTGTGTGTGTGAGAGTGTGTGTGTCACACCACCCTGCTAGAAGCCGAAGAATCTGTAGTGAGTGTGAAAGGATGAGAGTGCACTGGAGTTCACTGGAAATCTTCAGCCTTCATAACAGTGAACCATACAAACACACATTCCAAAGAACATTAACTTCAACACCACACAGTGGTGAACCACACATCCATCTCTCTCTCTTTCTCTGTACTATTCTTTCTTTTTTCTGTTATATATTCAGCTCTTTTTAACTCTCCCTCTTTTCTATTTTGTGTTTCTCCATGTTTGTACTTGAATGTTACATTTTGCCAAAAAAATAAATAATGACAAACATGACAAAAATAAAAAAGATAAATAGGAGTTAGACCAATAAAAGGTATTTACAACAATAGTTATTAACAGAGAGAATGAGCTGAGGGGTTCCTCAGTGTCAAATGTTCAGACCATTTAGTCTTTATTCTGGAGCTCAGGGTTTGGAGGACAGTGTGGATCAGGAGCCAGACTCCAGTATTCAATCAGAATGAGCTCTTAATTAGCCTGTCTGATTAAATAAGGGAGTGAAAGAGTCTCAGACTGACCAGTGTACCACTGACCATAAGACTAATGTTCGCAATTATGTATATTTTTATTATGTGTACAAAATGTGTCTTATTTCACAAGATTTCCCTTCAAAATAAAGCAAATCTGTTGTTCGTCCATCCATGCCTTTATCCATATGTATCCATCTGCTCCCTACTGAGCAACAGTAGTTTACACACTCTGTAAGAGACAGCAGAGCATGTAACAACACGTACACAGCGCACACTCGCTTACATGCGCGCACACACACACACACACACACTGTGGTGAAGACTCAGACAAATGATACTGTGTGATGTCACCCCATGATGATGTCATCAATAACCAACACACCTGCAGGACATGACTGAACAGAAGATACATTACACACACTACACAGCAAAGAGAGAAAGAAGAAAAAAGGAAAGAAAGAAAAAAAAGACAAAAAAGTGACAGAAAAAGAAAAGCAGACAAGAGAGAAGACATAAAGAAAAGAAAGAAGAGAAAGAAAGCAATGAAAACAGAAAACAGAAAAGAGAAAAAAGAATGAAATACAAGAAAAAGACAATAATAAAAAGAAAAATAGAAAGCAAACAGAAAAAGAGAGAGAGAGAGAGACAGAGAGAGAGAGAGAGAGACAGAGAGAGAGAAAGAGAGACAGAGAGAGAGAGAGAGAGAGAGAGAGAGAGAGAGAGAGAGAGAGAGAGAGAGAGAGAGAGAGAGAGATGATGGTGGGTGGCAGGACTGTGCCCTCTATACGTGCCAGAACAATGGCCGCACACATGTACACACACGCTGCCTGGTTCTTTGAAACTTTCACAAACAGAAGAAGGAGGAGAGGAGGAGGGAGAAAGGAGGGATTGTGTGTGTGTGTGTGTGTGTGTGTGTGTGTGTGTGTGTGTGTGTGTGTGTGTGGGCAATGCAGAAAACTAAACTTAGAGTCTACACTTTAAAGCTGCAAATTTGTGTTTTTCTTACTCAAACACACCTGATAAACAGAATCAGGACTCAGATTGGGCAAAACAAAACCTATCAGGCTCCGTCCACGTACTTGTGTAGCTGCTATTGCGAGGTTGGACAAGCTTTACAGAACAATGGCAAAAATCCATTTAACCTAATGTGGAAATCAGCAGAATGTTCACTGACTTCAGCTGGTTTAGCATTGCTAGCCAGCTAAGTTAATTTAAACTAGACTACTTGCTGGTGTAGCATAGCTAAAGGGATTTCTCCAACATTCTCTAACATTTTCCATGTTGTACTGCCATTTTATATATACACAGCACCCTCAACAATTATGGCACCCCTCGTTAAGATGTGTTCTTAGGCTTCTAATAAATTCTTAAATAATATAGGACAACAATGCAAAAAAGAGAAAAATCCAACCTTTAATTCAAGTGCATTTATTCAGTGGGAAAAAAAAGTCCCACATTAAGAAATAATTCTTTTACATGAAATCATCTGTGCCACAATTATTGGCACCCCTGGTGTTAATACTTTGTACAACCCCCTTTTGCCAACAAGAAAGCACTTAAACTTCTCCTATAACATTTCACAAGATGGGAGAATACAGAGAGAAGGATCTTTCCTCCATTCCTCTTTGCACAATCTCTCTAAATCGTCCAGAGTCCTGGGTCTTCTCCTATGCACTCTCCTCTTCAGCTCACCCCACAGGTTTTCAATTGGGTTGAGGTCTGGGGACTGAAATGGCCATGGGAGGAGCTTGACTTTGTGTCTGGTGAACCATTTTTGTGTAGATTTGACCACATGTTTGGGGTCATTATCTTGCTGAAAGACCCAGTGACGACCCATCTTCAGCTTTCAGGCAGAGGCCACCAGATTTTGATTTGAAATGTCCTGGTATTTCAAAGAGTTCATGATGCCATGCACCCTAACAAGGTTCCTGGGGCCTTTGGAAAAGAAACAGGCCCACAGCATCACCGATCCTCCCCCATACTTCACAGTGGGCATGAGGTGCTTTTCCACATACTTTTGTGTTACGCCAGACCCACTTAGAGCGTTTGTTGCCAAAAAGCTCTATCTTGGTCTCATCTGACCAAAGTACATGGTCCCAGTTGAAGTCCCAGTACCGCTTAGCGAACTCCAGACGTTTACGTTTATGCTTGTAAGTGAGAAAAGGCTTTTTCCATGCATGCCTCCCAAACAGCTTGCTGGCATGTAGATAGTGCCTGATGGTTGTTATGGAGACTCTGTGACCCCAGGATGCTACTCTTTGATGCAATTCTCTAACAATTCTCTACTAATTAAAGGTTCCTAGATACTCTGATCAACTTTATAAACTACAATAGAAATGACAGAAATGCTTCAATTACATTTATTTTCTAGGAATTGTTAGGGGTGCCAATAATTGTGGAACAGGCGATTTTATGAAAAATAATGATTTCTTAGTCAGGGTTTTTTTAAAGGTTACATTTTTCTACAATTTTCAGTGTACGACTATGCTTCTGAAATAAAAATTTAATTTATTTTAAGGCTTTTAACACATCTTAACGAGGGGTGTACATACATACATACATACATACATACACATACATATATACATATACATATATATATATATATATATATATATATATATATCATGGCACCTACAGAAAGAGAAACATTGGGCTAGCAATGCTAAAACATTCTGCTTAGCCTAAAAGCCTGGTATGTACAAAACGACCTGCTCTACTGCCGCTCTTCGTACTTCGTCACCGGTACACCTGAGCAGATGAGATTGCCACAATACGAACAGAAGCAGCCAGAGCTGGTAGTTAAACAATAGTAAAATCTCCAAATCTTTCAATCTACAAAAAAGATAATAACAAAAGCAACACATATGACACTGTTTCAGTTTGTGTGTGTGTGTGTGTGTGTGTGTGTGTGTGTGTGTGTGTGTGTGTGTATGGATGCACACAACTTTGATGAATTGTTTTGAAGTTCAGTCTTAAAAGTTGGTTGCATTTTCTGCTGTTCATCATGTCATCAACACATTGAATGATGTTGAGGTCTGCGCTCTGGGGTGGTCCATCCATTGTTCAAAGAAAACCAGCAGCTTCTTTATTTGTTGAGCAAATTTTATTTTTTGGTCAATTTTTGTTTCTCAGTAACGGCTTCCTGACAGCTACACATCCTTTCTGACCCAGATCCTTTGAGATGTTTTCTCACAGTGAAAGGATGGATAAAAACACCTGTGGATTTTTTCCAGATGTGAAGCAAGAGTGGAACTTGATTTTCTCCTCTCTCTCAAAGAAGAAAGCTTTAAGTACTGTTTATGGTGAAAGGTTTGGTGGTCCACCTTGTCTTGCACTGTTGTTAGGGGCCCCATTTTCCTCATGTCTTTCGACATTTTTCCAAACTCTAGTCAGGAGGAACATTTCTTTTTTTCACTTGTTTTTCTTTGACTTTCCCCTTCTTTAAGCTATTATCGTCTATCTAATCTCCTCAAAAATCACCTGAAAATGAATAACTTCTACTTGTCAGCCATTTTGTCTGATAAGTAAATAAATAAAGGGTGGTGCTGCAAGGCTCCAGGCTAATGCCGCCTCATCATCTCAGGGATGATAATTATGAAAGGAATGACGCTTCAGGGACGATTCCCTAATGTACATTAACTTGACACTTCATGTTTATAAAATATACGGTCATAAAAGTCCACCCTAAATATAGCAATGTTTATTGTATGTACAGTGATAAGCCAAAGATGTCACATAATGCCCAAACATTCAATCCTTTCACACCTAAGTTATGTTCCAGGGCACAAAAATATGATCAAGCTCTGTTCTTATTCTAAAGGCATTCAACAATAAATGACAATAAATGTTAGTTATTGTTTATAATAACTGTTTAACTGGTGCCCATTACAAACCACAGAGCAGCAACATTCCAGTATTAACACAATTATTTTAATTAAGGTTATAACAATTATAATCATTTTAAGATTTATGCTGACATATACATGGAGATAAATGGATTTATGGGCAACAGATGTGTCGGTATGTTTGAAGTGTATATGCGTGTGTGTGCTAAGCAAGTATTCTGTGTATTGCTATCTGACATTTGTTATTTTTGGGAACCCGTGACATGGCAATTAAAAAATTCAACTGAGAAATGTAATTGTATGCGTTGTAATGTGTTGTAAATAACGCAGTTTATTATTATGGATGGTCAGTTTTCACTTTAAGATGGCTGACAAAATCACAGTTTGCGTTTTAACGGTGCAGCACAGCTTGTGTGGACCAGAACAGTAAATAAAATGGAAGCACATCTGTTCAATCAAACAACTAAAAAATGCTTGTGTGGAAATATCAACAAGTATTTGAAGCCTGTGAAATGCAATTCGGTCCATATAAAGAGCACATTCATGGGCCAAGCATGGACAGGTCAGTTGAAATATAGGTCAAAAACAAGGCAAAGCCAAACTTACATGAGTGATGGAGAGGACAAGGAAGGCTCCACCCCCTGCACACTCTGTGATGACAGCGATGAAGCGGGGGTTAACGGAGCAGAGCAGGTTGTCATGGACGCTGAGTGTGATCGGCACTCCATCATAGCAGTTCTCCTTAGTGGAAGCTTTACCAAACACATGACGGAACTTAGAGCTGCGGTACTGAGGACGCCATGTCATCTGCGAGGGGGGGAGAGAGAGAGAAACAGATATATAAGTACACATATGCAATAATAATAATAATAATAATAATAATAATAATATCCCATACGTAGGAGATGGACAAAGGAGGGATTGTGCGTATGTTATGTATGTTTGTATGAATGTGTACAACAACAACACTCATGTATTACACAACGTATGCAAATGTTTGGCCACCCCCGGTCAAATTACTTTAAAATATTCATCAGCAAAAACAGAAACTTTACAATAAAATGTGCTGAAAATGTAATATTTAAGTTCATACCCTGTAGAGGATGTAATTTGAACAGGGTTATTCAAACTTTTGCATATGACATATGTACATATGTATGCACCTATATTTAATATTGTAAATAGTTAAAAAAAAATAAACATGTTGTAAGACAAAGCACTTGAAAGTCAGAAGTTTTGACTCAAAATAAAAGTTGTGTTGGTCCTGTAGGTTAGTTCTGTTTTCTTCGGACATTTTTGTATAAAATACACTCCAAGCATCAAACTCCAGGATTTGCAGACCAAATGTATCTGCACTTGTATAATGACAATGTAATCATTCTATTCGGTTCTGTTCTAAACAGATAGCATGAGCCAGTCGGTGGAATAAAACTTGTATAAATAAAAGACACAAACAACTGGGCCACAAATCAGAACAGATCATCAGTGTAAGAGTAAAACAGTATAAACCTGCTGTTAGTTCATCAGTTCACTCCTCAGTTTGCTAAAGAAGGAGGTAAACATCTGCTTCAAGCCTGCCAGAACATGCTGAACACTGCAGTCTAGAGTGTGTGTGTGTGCTTTTATAATCAATCAGTCATTGAGTCCACACTATTCCTCCTGAATGTGGGTGAGGTTCAAGCAGGGTCACTCCTAAAACCTTTATAGGCCTAATATAATGGATACAATTTTTTTTTTACTGCAGCTACAGTCTGGTTTAGGAGAGGTCACTATCTATCACACTCTTTATATGAAGCCTAATATTAATTATTTTATTAAGCTTCATATAAAGAACATGACAGATAGTGGCCTCTCCTATACCAAACCTGTAACTGCAGTTACAAACAAACACATTCTTTCCCCCTAATTTTTCACGTGACCCTGTATTTCAAAATTATGACTGAAATGTCTGTCTGGGAAACAGAAGTGTTGTTTATTACTGTTTTAGCTAAGTTACTGAAAATGTGTTTACTTATTAACTTAAGTTATTGTTTTATGTCCCACTAAATATCTCTTCAGAGTTTTCTTGGAGACTGTGCTGTTTGCAGCCATCACTGCAATCGAGTGAAACTGAAACTATGGCAAGAGTGGGAATGTTATGAGCATAAACCTCTCAAGAAAGCACAGTACTTCAAATGCCATGGACGTGGCTTCATAATCACTGCTTGAAAAAGCCCAGTTGGGATTACTGAAATCCGTGCACATAAAATCCAACCAATGAAGCATTGCCAGTTGAACATCACAGGTTGCTGTTAACAGACTCTCTTTAACTGGTTTACACCTTATATTCTCTGTTACTGGATATATACTGCCCTCATTTGAGTAGGCTGTGTAAGTTAGCAGAAAGCTAAATGGCTAACAGGCTAACGCTCCAATAATAAAAGACTGAGTTCTAACCCTCACAGAAAGATTTACTTAAAAACACATACAAAGTAAAGAATATGCTAATTACATGCCTGTTATGAGATTAACATGTCCTTATTTGAACAAAAGCTAACATCAAAAACCAATAAAACACTAATAATCTAACCCTACCAGCATACGAGGAGTGTTATCTTAGCACTGGTTTAAAAGCTAAGTAACAGATTTTTACATGAAACACTGCTATATAATGGCATTGCTTTAAGCACATCCATAAAAAAGGTTATTTACATTTTTATTTATTCATACATTTCTATAGTATTAGGATGGTGTTAGCATTTAACAAATATAGTACTTTGTAATACTGTAGGAATGTAATACTTTGCAGGAAGTTCCTTCCATAAGCCACTCAAAACATCATGAGGCCTAAGAATAAGGTTTATAGTGCTTTGTAATACTTTTCAAAATTCATTCTAATTTAATTATGCTTTGCATAACATTCCTGTCTTAAAGTAATTTATTATATAGTACAGTAATTGTTTGAATTTACAGAGATTCTTACAGGATATTTGTAGAAATTTCTGCAGTATTAATAAAGATCCTTTTCGAACAACAGTATAATTTTATTTTTCCTGTCATCCATTAGATAGACATGTAAAAGAACAATTTAATCATCTGTTAGGTGCAGTTAAAAGAAAAAGCATTTTTACAGTGAGATGACAGAACAAGATGCAGCTCTTATGATTTTATCTCTCATACATGTTAAGTTAGCCATTGTAGATAGCTAACTAAAGTGTTTTTAGATACAGTGCACCAATGAGCTGAAATTCATTACAGGAATCTCAAGTCAAAAACTCAGGTATAACCATTTATTTTGGGATTTTTATAATGTTGCATCCATCCAAAAATGGATAGAGAGGGATAAACAGATATAAACTTTGAGGATTGTGAAGCAGTACTGTTACTGTTTGGATGCTGACCTGGCTGTTCACTCCATGGAGTTTGAGCTTTGCATGTCATTAACATCATGAGTCTGACTGGTCACTGATGCTCCTGTATTATCACATGTACGAAGTTAATCATCGGTTAACTCACACCATAACATCCATTTATAGTTCTTTCCCTTCCTCCTAGTTACTGTCAGAATTATCATCAAGGTATTTTTCTAAAATGTCTATTGTAGCATACAGATGACAAAACAAATAAATCATTTATTGTAGTGTATATCAGTCAGAAGGAAAACTTGCCAACCTCCTCTGGTAAAATTAATCCAGCTCAGGTAATATTTTTTTGCTTATTTATTAATAAATGAATAAATACGTAATTTTGGCATCATAAAGAGAAAAAAACTGATATATTGTGTATGTATCACATTGTATTACATTATTTCTATTAATAATATTTTTTATGCTTTTAAATTTAATTAAATGTATGAATACAAAGTAACTAAATGCATGTGTAATTTCTCTGCAGTTTTATGTTTCATGTGACCAATTTTTTCAACGATACCCAGCCGAAAAGTATCCTAAGTAGGCTGATTTTACAGATTCAACACCACTTAAATAGGCTTAACAACATTACATATTAAAACACAGAAGACATGTAGCTTTACTGCTAACAAAACAGACATCTTTGTGTTCCAAGGTTCATCATCCCTAATTCGGATACACTGCAAAGAAATAAAAGTCTGCAGAGTGCAGCATTTTTCTTAAACACTTTGTATGACTTTGTTTACTTCTCAGTGACTGAATTATGTTGAAATTTTGAAAAATCTGTGGAATTCTCCTTCAGCTCAGAGCGAATACAGCAAGAATACAGGCATCGCCCCAGTGTTATGTAGCCTCAGAAAGAGCTGCAGGCCATGCAGCAGTGTTGATCATATCAGGACTCAGCAGCAGAAGACTTTGTGGAACAGGCTTGACAAGAACAGTGAGAGCAGCTTCTTCTTCTCACTGCTTCAACAGCCACATTTAATAATGTCCATTCAAACAGTACAGGCAAACAGCATACAGTCATAATCACAGAATTTTTTCTTGCTTTTCACTCCACTTGAAAGACTGTATGATTTTTTTCAAATCAGATGTTGATTAATTATCATCAAGTCATAAATCTTTAGGATCATTGAGAGTTTTGAAACTATACTATGTAAAATTTGCAGATTTGGAGACCTTTCTGGTAGAAAATGTGCAATTTCTGTTGCATTATGTAATGTCGGTTGTGCTTTGGACCCCTTCCCCGAGAGGATAAATCTGACGATTGCAAGTGCACTGAAAGAGTATTCACAGAAAACTCAGTCAAAACTTCGTGAAGGACGTGCCTTCAGAGGACGTAAGTGAATTATGTACCGTAGTCATCGTATATTCATCAACATAATGTTGATTTTCCATTTCAGACTTTAATATTGGGCAGGACGTTCTTTTTTTTAGCCTGTCAATGTGATGTTAATGCATAGAGATGTATGATGGTCTGAAAAACGCCCACAAATCCAATCTAAAATCTCTGACTTTTAAATGTTCATTTCAGGCTTTACAGGGTAACTCAGCGCACACAAACCATATTTAGCATGTTTTTTTTCTCCTGATTTAGTAATGCTGCTTCTTTAAATTTTAATGAAACAATCTTGCATTGTTCGACTTTACTATCTGCAATTAAGTAGCCAAGATCATAGATCAGTTTCATAGTACATATTACTAAATAATATCTGCAGTTCAAAGGGTTAAACTTTGTATGTCAGTGAATTGCTAACAGAAGGTAATGGAATTTCAGTCATGATGGCCATCACTCACCTCTGCAGAAAAATCCAACCTGCCCTGTTTTTCCAAACAAAAAAAAAATAAAACAATTATCAGCGTTCTCTGGAGTGTGACGCAAGGAACTGAACGCAGACATGTGAGACGCAAAGAAAAACCAGCACCACTCCGCCTCATCTCGACTTTCACAAATAAAAGACAAAGAAAAAACACAACTCCATTTCCATATCAGAGGGGCTGCATATGAAACTCTGAGCATAGGGACACAGCAGAATATTTTTAGACTACACTTGTTCACATTGTCTCACTCTAGACAAGTCAGAGAAACAGAAAGCTAGATCTGAAGATTTCTCACCATCCAGAGATCAAAATAACTCAAGATGTATGTTCTGTTATAGGCTGACGGTTAGATTATCCTTCATCAGCACGCTGCTCCACCTCTACCTCACTAAGCTCTTTATCCACTACTCTGCATCTCTCCTAAAGAACAGATTTAGCTGATCTGATCAAGATGCAAATATGCACACATACATACAGGACCATGCTAACGTCTTAAAAAGCCATTAAAACATAAATAATGAGTTAGTGAAGTTCATATGTTGGTAGAAGAACACCCGTCTGGTTCCTGACTCTGTGAAGGATTTGTTAAATTCCATC